CCCGTTCGCTTTTTACTTTACGCCCGTGCCTCTCTGATTACGATACACTGCCGCCCGCCTCGAGCTTGCGATGGTTTCCTATTTAGTGACTGCCTCGTTTATGCGTTTATTTAGCCGCGCCGCGCTCCAGGCGCGGCGCCCGCGCCTCGTTCGTTACCACTCGCTCGTTCCTCAGATATACCCGCCCTCTCGCGGACGACGCCCCTCAGTCTTTGCTCTCTGCCCGAGCGTCCGTACTGAGGGGTAAGTCTGCTGTCCACTCGTTGTCCCGCGTACTGTAGCTCACCGTACTTGTTTAGTCTATCCGTGCTACTTACAGGTACAGAATACAGTCTTTGCTCTCTGCCCGAGCGTCCGTACTGAGGGTCTATCCGTGCTACTTACAGCCCAGTACGACTACTTGCTCTCATAGGTTATGAGCCCTGCGCGGCCTTAACTGAAAAGACTCACAAACCGCGCAGAACCACTCGCTTATTCGCCCACACTCGCTTCTCCCATCCCATCATCTTCCACCCTATCTTGTCATCATCTCCTCGCCATGTCGTCGACCAACTCGCCGTCGCTGTCGGACTTCATCGCCGGCGTGGAGAAGCTCGATTCGAAGGGATCAAACTGGCTGCTTTTCGAGCAGCAGTTCACCATCGCCGTGAAGCAGAAGGAGGTTTGGGGACATTTTGATGGCACTTCGGTACGTCCCGCGCAGGCCGGGGACACGGCAACACCCGCCGAAACCACTGCTATTGCCGCCTGGGAGAAGAAGGAGAATTTCGCTCTCTATCTCCTCACGCTGAAGATAGCGCCCGCCACATATGCTAAGCACAAGCGCAAGGGAGACTTGTCCAAGGTCTGGGCAGCCATCGTTCAGGAGTTCACGAGCAAGTCACTCCTCGCTCGTTCAAACCTTCGCCGCGACTTCCTGAACATGCGTGCCGATCCCGGCCAAGACCTTCGCTCAGAGATCGACCGCCTCCAGCTCGCATACGAAAACATGCTCACGTACGACATCACCGTCTCAGACACCGAGTACGCTTCGGTCATCATCAACTTCCTTCCCGACACCCTGTCCGCTTTCATCTCGCAGCTATCCGCGCAGATGAAGCTTCACGCTCGCCTCACTCCCGCAACAGCGTCTACCTCGTCGACCACCACTGAGACTCCGCCGGCCATCGAGCCAGACCTCATGCTCGAGCTCGTACTCGAGGAGTGGGAGCGGCGTCGTGACGAGAAGAAGAGCAAGAAGCCGAAGGACACAGGTGTAGCTGCGAGCGCTGTCTCGACGGAGAAGCCGAAGTGGAAGGGCCGTGGCAAGGGACCGCAACGTCCTGTCGGTGTATGCTGGAACTGCGGTGGGAAGGGTCACCGTGAGGCGTCGTGCCCGAGCCCCAAGAGCGACAGCTCGAAGGGCAAAGGCCACTCGAAGCCGAATGAAACGAAGCCCGCTGCAGGAGCTGCAAACGTCGCTGTTGCACGCCCAACTCGCATCGTGGAGGCCCCGCAAGCCCCCGGCTACGAAGGAGCATGGTCTGCCGTGTACGCCGCTGCCAGTGTCGAGACCGACGACGAGTCTAGCGAGGACGGCGACGATGCCTGGTCGTCCGCCGGCCTATCTGGCTACACCGCACTCACTGAGGGGTCCGACACTGACTCTGACTCGATGCCGGGTCTACAGACCGTCACCGCCTCGTCTGTGCTGTCGTCTGCTGAAGACGACCATGCTGCTGGTCCGACCGAAGAGGACGAGCCGACGCCCGCGCCGGAGCCAGTTCCTATGACGGAACGCATGCGCAACGTCGAAGACTGGGTCCGCAATGCCCTGGGGCCCGATGACGTCCCTTCGCCAGCTCGTGCTGCTGCTGCGCACGCTCCGATCGCTGCTGCTGCCACCACCAACCAGGTCGTCGACCTGTACGACTCGGGAGCCACGCATCACATGTCGCCGTACCGCGAGGACTTCATCTCGTTCACCGCCACTGCGAACAAGCCGCTGAATGCCGCAAACCAGCAGCAATTCCTCGCCAAGGGTGTCGGAGAGATGCCTGTCTCGATCCCGAATGCACCTGCCGCCGACTCCCGTATCACGCTCACTGGGGTCCTGTACACCCCGTCGCTTGGGTTCAACCTCATCTCCATCGGCCGTATCGACGACGCTGGATGCTCCGCAACGTTCGCTGATGGGCAATGTGTCATCGTTGCAGAAGACGGTCAAACTGTCGGCCGTATCCCAAAGTCTGGAGGGCTCTACATCGTGACTCGCGAGCGGGAGACAGCAGCTGCGCATGCGGCGTCGGATTCTCTCGAAGAGCTCACCGAGGATGAGGCACATCGTCGTTTCGGTCATATCGCCATTCGCTCGATCCGCGAGCTCGTCTCGAAGGGGTACATAACAGGCGTCAAGCTGGTTAAGTCCGGCGAGTCGAAGCCGTGCGAAGCCTGCATCCGTGCGAAGTCATCGCGCAAACCTGTCCCTACGGAACGCCAGGGCGAGCGTGCGACTGAGTTCGGCGAAGAGCTCCACTCGGATGTCTGGGGACCTGCTCGCACTGTGACCATTGGCGGCCGCAAGTACTACATCAGTTTCACTGATGACAAGTCACGCCATTCGACGCTCTACCTCCTGCGGAAGAAGAGCGAGGCCTTCGAATCTTTCAAGGCATTCGAGGCGTGGTTGGAACGTCACCATGGCGTCCAAATCCGGTTCCTGAACGTCGATCGCGGCGGCGAGTACCTCAGCGATGAGTTCAAGGACTACCTCGACGAGCGTGGCATCGAGTACAAGCTCTCGGTGCATGACACCTCCGAAGAGGCAGGCGTGTCGGAACGCCTTAACCGCACGCTCATGGAGAAGGTCCGCGCGATGATGATCACGTCAGGACTGCCGCCTTTCCTCTGGGGCGAGGCCGCCATGCACGCCACATGGCTGAAGAACCGCACCGCAACGAAGGCACTCGACGGTCGCACACCGTTCGAGGCTGTCACCGGCACGCCGCCGGACATGCGTGGCATTCCTGTCTGGGGTTCGAAGGTTTGGGTGCACGACACGACTGATGGGAAGCTTGGCGAGCGTGCAAAGTGCGGCCGTTGGGTCGGGTTTGATGCGCAGAGCCAAGGCTCGCGTGTCTATTGGCCTGACCGCCGTACTGTCACAGTGGAGCGTAGCCTGCGCTTCGCTGACCCCGGCCTTCCTCTCGATCTCGACTCTGATGCTGTCGAGCTTGAGGGGGTGGATGACTCCGAGTCAGGCGAAGGAGATGCACAGGACAAGCCCGACGAGCCATCGCTCGAGCCGCTCGAGGAAGACGCTGGACCGCTACCTGCCGATCTGCCTGCCACTCTGCCTGCTGAACCGCCTGCTGCGCCCCTTGCTGCTCCGCCTGCTGCCCCACACGACGCCCCTGCTGCTCTGACTCCCGCTGCCGACTTGCCTAGCACGACCCGCCGCTCGTCTCGCCCTCGCACGCAGGCTCTGCCACCTGCTGCACCACTCCCTACGCTGCACGAGCAGCGTGAAGCCGAGGAGCTGCGCGCTGTGGAAGATCTTCTTGTCGAAGAGATCGGCAGCGCTGCCATGGCCGCACAGATGGCTGAGGTCGAAGGGCTCGACCCGCGTTCGCTCGCTGAGGCGAAGCGAAGGCCCGAGTGGCCACGCTGGGAAGAGGCGATGGAGGAGGAGCTCCATGCACTCGAGGCGCACAAAACATGGTGTCTTGAGAAGCCACCGCCGGGTGCGAACATCGTGAGCTGCCGGTGGGTCTTCCATGCCAAGAAGGACGCCTCCGGGAACGTCTATCGCTACCGCGCACGCCTCGTCGCCCGTGGATTCTCGCAGATCCCGGGTGTCGACTTCTTCGACACATATGCACCTGTTGCCAAGACCGCGTCCATTCGCATCGCGCTCGCATTCGCTGCACGCCACGACTTTGAAGTTCACCAAGTCGACGTGAAAAGTGCGTACCTGAACGGCGAGTTCGAGGAGAACGAGGTGATCTGGATGGCCGTGCCTCCAGGATCGAACATCACGAACGATAAGTCGCTCGCCCTCCGCCTCCTCCGCCCGCTGTACGGTCTCAAGCAGAGTGCACGCCACTGGCATAAGAAGCTGTTGCGGGTTCTCCGCGACAAGCTCGGTATGTCACAGTCGGACGTCGATCAAGCCGTCTTCTATCGTGTCGATGGGACCGACCTCATTGTCATTGTCGTCCACGTCGATGACTTGACTGTCGTTGCTGCCACTGACGCCCTCATCCGCGAGGTCAAGGCCAAGCTCCGTGAAGCTTTCGAGATCTCGGACGAAGGCGAGATCCACTGGATCCTTGGGTTTGCTGTTGAGCGTGACCGCGCAAACCGCCGCCTCTCGCTCTCGCAAACCGCCTACATCGAGTCGATTGTCCGCCGCTTCGGGCTCGAGGATGCGAAGCCCATCTCCACGCCGATGGACCCCCACGTCGCCCTCACCGTTGCTCAGAGCCCGTCGACGCCCGCTGAGATTGGCGCCATGCGCGACGTGCCGTATCGTGAAGCAGTCGGGTCGCTCATGTACGCCTCGCTCGGCACGCGACCTGACATCACGTACGCCGTCTCTATCCTCTCGCGTTTCTCTGACAACCCGGGCCGCACGCACTGGGACGCCGTGCGCCGCGTTTTGCGCTATCTGCATGGCACAAAGCACCTCAAGCTGACGTATGGCGCGACGGAGCTCGACCTCGTCGGCTACTCGGACGCCGACGGCTCGATGCATGAGGACCGCAAGGCCATCTCGGGCTACGCCTTCCTCATCGACGGCGGCGCCGTTTCTTGGAGCTCGAAGCGCCAGGAGCTCATCTCGCTCTCGACGACTGAGTCCGAGTACGTCGCCGTCACACATGCTGCGAAGGAGGCGTTGTGGCTGCGCTCGCTCATCGGTCAAGTCTTCGCCCCATTCGTCGACCCCATCACGCTCAACTCGGACAACCAGTCCGCGATCGCCCTCGCACGCGACAACCAGTACCATGCCCGCACCAAACACATCGATATCCGCTACCACTTCATCCGCTGGGTCATTGAAGACAAGAAGATCCACCTCGTCTACTGCCCGACTGAAGACATGGTTGCCGACGTCCTTACGAAGGCTCTTCCCTCGCCAAAGGTCAAGCACTTCGCCACTGCCCTCGGTCTGCTCTAGGATTGAGGGGGTGTGTTGGAGCAACAATCCGTGGCGGCCGACGTCTGCGTCGGCCGTCTACCTCGGACCGTTTTCCCGTTCGCTTTTTACTTTACGCCCGTGCCTCTCTGATTACGATACACTGCCGCCCGCCTCGAGCTTGCGATGGTTTCCTATTTAGTGACTGCCTCGTTTATGCGTTTATTTAGCCGCGCCGCGCTCCAGGCGCGGCGCCCGCGCCTCGTTCGTTACCACTCGCTCGTTCCTCAGATATACCCGCCCTCTCGCGGACGACGCCCCTCAGTCTTTGCTCTCTGCCCGAGCGTCCGTACTGAGGGGTAAGTCTGCTGTCCACTCGTTGTCCCGCGTACTGTAGCTCACCGTACTTGTTTAGTCTATCCGTGCTACTTACAGGTACAGAATACAGTCTTTGCTCTCTGCCCGAGCGTCCGTACTGAGGGTCTATCCGTGCTACTTACAGCCCAGTACGACTACTTGC